ATTGTCACGAACGATTTTGAGCCATGTTATTAGAACTCTCTAATATTGGTTACAATAATCACGCTTACTGTTTCTCAGTATGAGCAGAAGGGTCAAGGAATTGCAGTGGCGATTCCAGGATGCAACAGTATTCGCCTTCTACATACATAAAATAACTTCAGTTCGAAAAGTATCAAGAACGAACCTCCACAAACTCTACCAATCTTCCTCAAAATGACCAAGCATGTTGATCGTCAAATAAATTGATGAATTCAGCTTAAAGTTAAGTAAAATGCATCTTAGTTCTTAAGACTACCACTGATGAAAATATAACCGTACCACCGGTTCATGAAATCATCGTCTGGATGCCCGAGTCGTGTTAGTCATGTGTAGACACCTTGGTTTCGGTTTGCGAGATAAGTATGATCGTTCGATAGATACCTTACATGGAATTATTCACAGAGTTGCTGATTTATACTTTAGTCACATCTCATATCTTTCATTTCTGCTGTACCAACGCTGACCGAAGCAGGATTTCGGTATCCTATATCCTATCACGATCAGCAGTTATCTGTTGTGTATGGTACTATGTTAATCCCACATGAATTATTCTAGCTTCCGGACAAACCAGTTAGTTTATTCTTCTTCAGTCACATTTTGACCTTGTCAGTTATTCGCTTATTAACCTTGACTGTTTCTCTTTGTGCGCATAGGTTTCCATCGCTTACCCTATTCATCACACATGCCTTAAGCTTATTTTTGTCTGTTTTTAAATATTGAGTCATGCTTATTAAATGGAGTTTTCACACTTGCCTTCTCAGGTTTGCTTTTCTGCTTCGTTTTTCTGATTGTCTGTCTGGATTAGCAAGTGTATGAAATACGTATATCCAAAATTAGTTTCGTATTTGGCCTGTTTTATTCCGTTAACACGATCTAAGTCGGTAATTATATACGAGTATTGGCGACATGTATATTTCGTTAACACCATCGTTCGATCGAATTGGAGTTATATCAGCGAGCCACAGAATATCATTCACATACTCATGTAACAGGTATGCAGCACTATCACACACTTTCTTCAAAGACTTATCAACAGTTGCATTCATGTTAAGATTAAAGAGAAGTGATAAGATAGAAAAAGTCTTTCTAATCTATTCATGGTTTTGGAACAATGAAGAGATGTGGTTGTATTCCTTCGCTCTACTTGTTTTGTTTAGTTAGAGGTTTCGCAGATGTTAGTCGATCTTTACACGTTTTCTAACAGACAATGCTAAGGCGAACTCCTGTCTTATTAAATAAAGAAGTCTGTGATAGTGTTTGAACAGTTAACTTCAAGGTCGAACAATGATTAATGGGTTTACTACCTAACCGAAACATAACCTGTCCCTCATGAAATCAGTTATTCTTGTGTTTTGTTCGGAATAGCAGAAGCCAATAATTTCCGTGTAACTTTAATGCACACTTGTACCCAAACTGTTTTTATATGTATATTTGCCATTTGTGTGAGTGGTTACAACGATCTCTCCGATTTAAAGTGATTGTACACTTTGTAAACAACCTAGCTTATTCTTAGAGCATAATGTCTCTCACTTCTGAAAATTATGGTGGATAGTCTGTCTTTACTAAGTATTGTGTAGCGTCTATGTATTTGGAATTCGCTTGGTGCTTTGTTGTGTGATTCACTACACATTGGTTATTAAAAACAGAATAGGTTGATCGAAGTTGTTATTACAATAAGTCAACTAAATTTTCTTTTGAAATGACTCACTTATTGTTCAATCAATCCTTCAGGATTGACAACAGGCGTACCACCAACCTCGTAAATTATTTTGTTAACAGCATGCTTCCCTCTAAAAATCCCAAATATCTTGTTCCACTTTATTCATTTGATTTCTTCTCGGTACATATCAGTCCTGTTAACCATAATTTCTATGCAAACTGCTCTCCTTTGTCGGTTTTTTTATAATGTTCTTTTTTCTCGAATCGTATTTTCTATACCTATTTTTTTAATTATCACTGATACTGTTACTACCTCTACTACTCAGGCATTTACCTTGATAATTTCATCTTTGTTTTGATATGGCGTGATAATAACTGGAACCGATGCACTTATGTTCAATGTTCTACGTTGCTTATGCTCAACTAGTCTACTGTCTGTTCATCTATGTGTATACTCATATGACACGTTATCCCCTGGTTGTGTTTTCTCTTATGAAAATATTCAACATCTGACCCCTTGTCCAGGCGCTAATATTCACTCGCCCTGGATTTATGATTGTAGTTGAAATAAAGCGTATTAAAATACCTAGCTTTACCATCACTCTTCCATGAAATGTTTCAACATTAAGTAATTTTCATTAGTATAATATTATTTATAATATATTGTGTTTTTTCTACTTACATTCTATTGGTTTACCGTTTTGTAACTATGCCGCTATGCTACTACCCTGATTATGCATGTCTATTTGAACCATTGTCTCTACACCACTTACAACCAGTTACAATCAGGCTTAAAATGTCCATTATTTAGTCCACTCTTTGATCACGTGTCTAATCTGTGAAAAATATGTAGACCAAACTAAATTTGGGACAATGTCTGTAGAGAACAAAAACAAGTGTGTTACTATGATCGTTATCATCATTATAATGATTAACTATTAATTAATTTGTACTTGATCGCTGATCTAGCATTTTGGTTGCTCATGTATTATTTTGTGGTGAAGTTTGTATGTATGTGAAGACGGTTTTTGCCACAGACTATCATTAACTGTTTGAAGTTATTGTCAACGTTTTCGATCTTCAACAAATGTAGTGTATCCAGCGCTTTCAACCATTTTACCGTTCATCTGGTATGTGAGTGTCCGCATTGAAGTGTAATTTCCACTTAAGGTTTCACTTCAATTATTTAGAGTTATTCTCAACTGTTTGTTATGAACACGTCAATGGCAGCAAAATCTGAAACTCCTGATGGAAAACACATAGTCAAAGGTTAGGTCTTAAAATTAAATCTCTACTGAAAATTAAACTCTTGTTTACAATAGATTTATCCACTAAACAAACAGAAAATAACCGAAAACGCTAGGTACATCGCACTTATTCAAGATTGAAAGTATTGTAAATAATCTCACCCCATTAGCCGGAAAATGAGTATGAAAAATCAGGGATACATTGTGTTTGAACAGCTGTTTCATCCTAGTTTAGACTTCTTTTACAATCATCACATATTTTCCTCTACACATGTTCGGACTTAATACTCTTTCTGGGGTAGTGGTATGCACAAGATGAGCTATTCATCTTATATTCAATCCAGTATATCCTTTAATCAATTATTCTGTCATATTATTTTCTGCCTTATAAAATTGTCGATTGTCTCATTCTTAAGTTGTATAAATTCCATTTGGCGTTTAGTTCTAACCGCTTGGTACATTACACTCTATTATAGCTCAATCAGATTAGAGCTTAGTAAACTAGAATTCGTGTGTACGCAATTATTTTAATAAGTTTTGATATGTTATTTTCTTTATTATTTTTTACACTCAATTTACAAACCCTACATATACAGTGAAACGAAAATTATTTTATTGGTACTGTTAAGATCAACTTCATTATTTACCAATTGTTTGTAGCCTCTTCTTGTTAATGTTATTTACTGCAATTGGGCACTGCCAGGAAAGTCTTACTCACTGACTTCTCGCAGCGGGGGTCTTGTCTGTGAAGTTGAGAGGACAAAAAGCGAATATCCGGTTATCCCAAATGCGTTGGTGAATACGGAGGATCCATCTAGGAGAGTTGGGAAACCTGAATTCCAAATCATTGGTGGACATAGGCTCCAGATTCCTGAAGGAAAAAATGATATATGGATTTATTTTTGGTCACCAGTTACCTTGGGGCTGCATCTCCTAAATTTCTTCCCTGCCTAGTGGATTAGAACTGTAGGTCAAAGGATCGGGGAGTCGTCCTTAAGAAAACTATCTGCTTCGGTTTAGGCGATCAGGCAGTATCTCAGTCCGTACACAAATTCATTGACAGTGGCTGAGAAACACTTAGGTTGGTCATATTAAGACAAAGCATCAATCCATGCCGCCAGCTACGGTTTATTACGATTAAAATAGACAGCTACGTTTGGCTGTTGTGACTGACTGTTTTCTGCACCTGAAACAAGTTAGCAGCGAAAAACACTGATAAATGACTGGAAAACGAACTTGTATTTTTGTATTAGTTTTACTATCCACCACATATTGAATATTTCATAATATCGAACTCATATCTTTGTTATCACTTCATCTATCTTTTATGGTCCTTTTAATTATTTTGTCTTTTTCAAGTATTGCCTGTTATGCTCTTTGAAACTATAACGACTCGACCTAGCACATCTACTGATTTAATTTATACTTCCCTGTAAACTTATAAGTTTTGAAATTTTGCAAAAAATCCAATACGCTTATTTGGTGATAGTACCATGATTAAATTGCACTAAGCTGTAACCACTAACAATGGGAATATTAGGATTTACTTCATTCAGTACGGAAATTTAAAGGAATTTTGTCGACTTACACCACTTTAGCACTTACTGAATATCCGTTTGTCTATCAAGTAAATGGAAGTGCTACTCACTCGTCTTCTCACTATCTGTGAAAAGAAGCCTATCAAAGCAGAAAACATAATTAAGCGACAAGTATTCAATCAATAGGTTTATTTAAAACAAATAGAACATTATCAGAAGGGATTTTGTGGATATTATAGTAATTTTAATAGTTGAGACCATGAGTCAATTGAAGCTAGACCACCATAAAAAACCTGAAAGCACTGAACGGCCGTTTCGTCCCATTGTGGGACTCCCCAGCATTGTAAGTGGTACAATTTAATTAACAACTGAAATCTAGGATATTATGATTGACTGCGATCCTCTAGTCTAGTCATTTTTATCCAGCCCATAATTAAATATTTATTTTCATGAAAAAATATTCTACAAAATTTGTAATTAGTGTTTTTTTCTGCCTTCATTCTTTTTGTGGTGATAGGACACTGCACCAGTATATGAGTGATGAAGTCGAATACGTTATAACAAGGTCCGCTTGGGATGTCGAGTTTGATAATGTAAGTCTATATCCCTGCTTGTTGTTTGTCGCGATTCAAATTGCCCTTGTTTTTTTTTCGAAAAAGGGAAAAAACCAATAGTCATAAGGAAATAAAACTGTATATCCATCAAAATTAGTTGCATATTTATTTTATCATTTGTATAGTGGGGTTGCCGGAGATTAGCGAATGTTATAGTTCACACCATGAATTGTCCTTAACTAGATAATCATTAAAAAGTGAGAAGTACTGGATAGTTGCTTCATTCTAGTATATCGTTTTATGCAGTGGCATTGCATAGCCATGCCCTCACGAGGGGTTAGACCTAGGACCCTCAAGTCTTTTGACGGGCACTTAAGCTTTAGATCATCCCATGATTTACATATTTGACTTCAATTAATTTGCGATATTATGTAATTATCTTTTAGTGTCACTGGTGGGTAACTAACTTCTCCGTAATCAACTGGTGGGAATATCTCATTTCCACAGGAAAGGCCTAAACAACTCAGTGGTGGCATCTCAGACTGTGAAACTGAATGACCCAGGTTTGAATTCATTTGGAAGTTTCAGTTACCTGAAATTTGCGGGTACACCCTACTGACGATTGGTAATTAGGATGAAAACTTGGTTTAGAGTTTACTGCTGTCTTCTACCTAACATCAAAATGTAATTATAATGAAATGAAAGATAAATAATAATCATATGCTCACTAGTGACTAGCTTCGAGAGAGAATTCTTGAAGTTTTAATGAGAAACCGTGACTAGTGGAGTTCAATAGTGTCGGTCTTGAGGCAATTACCCACCAAAGACAATGGAAAATAGTCACTCAACGTTGTGGATTGATTGAAATTAGACATTAACACCGTTGCATATTAGCTCAGTGAAGTAAACTTTAAGCGTTCGCGCGCGAGACTGAAGGTCCTGGGTATGATTCTCACTTGCGGGATCGTCAACGTGCACTTCCGAAGAGTCTCATACTAGGACGAAACAGCCGTTCAATGCTTCTATGTTCCCAGTGGTAGTCTAACCTAGAATGGTTCATGATCTGAATGAAACTTAAGAATCTCCACAACTTTATACTGATAATAATAGTAATTAACTGGCTAGTAAACATTCGTATATATATGTGTATGGAATTCACCTTGTAGTTTATTTTTTATTATGAATCTAATAATTAAGGTCATTACACTTGATTCAACTCATTTTTGTGCGTGGTTAAATCATTATTAGTGTTAGAAACATAAATAAATATCATTGAATCGAATCGAATCAGTAAATAATCTTTTTAATCCTATCTATAGAATTTTGGTAATGAACAAAATGTTTGGTGCGTATTATTACTGATATTATTGCTAGCGTCACTACCATCCAATATATATATATATATATATATATATATATATGATGTACTCTTTATTTGACTCCACCATTACTAAGCCAACTTTTTTTATAAACAGTTCTGTTTATTTAGCGCGTAAATCGTAGCACCGCAACATGAATCGTTTAGTTTTTCAAGATAATTTATTATCAACTAGAGAATTATTGAAGAGCATAGTGTTGTACTGTAGATTCCTGTGAACGTCCATACCTTCAGACCACTTAGTGGGAATTCAATAACGCACATATATAACTTTAGTATGTTCGTAATTTATACAGCAGGATTTTCACCCAATGTTGTCGATCATTTCTGTTCTTCTCCCGACAGAGATGAATCCTACTGATCAAGTTTGTGTGGCGGTAATCCTTAGTTATTAGTGATTTTTTACCGAATGCCGGTCTGTGATAATGATAACAACTAAATTCAAATCGAACATTTTTCAAAATCCCAATTTCGTGATAATAATAATAATAAAACATCAGAACTTGTAAAGGCAGTTGAAGTTAACACATTGTAATAATGGAATTGGGATTAGGTAGCACATGTACCCGACCTCAGTCAATACTCCACTACTCTCCTCCTTCAGAGTTGATTAGTCAGTGCTTCTTGTTAGAACTCCAAGAAAGTCTCTTGAAGTTAATTATTTGTGAGCACATTATTATCATTATGATTACTAAAATAAAGTTTTTAATGGTTCTCCAGCTGATTTCAGTCCACTATAAAATCAGTGAATTTATATTTTATCAACGAGCCAATCATGCTTGAGTTGGAGAGTCTCTGATTTGTACACGAAATTCAAAATACAGTAACAGTTTGTACGCTATAAAAAAACCTAGTAGAAAGTATCTTCATTCAATGCTCGAAACTCTTGAAATCAACGAGAAATTTGTCTGTTGTGCAGCCATACACTGAATTAGACATTGTGTAACGTCTAAACTGATTGTAAAGGAAGCTTAGTATTATAAATCCGTTCTTCTTCTGGCTGTTCTAATTTCATAGCTAAACGATTTCATTATTAACATAGTGAATAATATAAACCTTCGTGTCGTATAAACTACTAGTAATGTCGGAAATTATGCTGGCAGGTGTTTTATTGTTGTCATGGTTACTTTTTCACTGTCTTTTTAAACCATATTCTCAGTGTTCAGTCTTTATGAACATTATTTTTGATAGGTTGTTTCAGTTCTTTTGCTATTCATCTCATTGCATTGTACGACAACTTGAACCAACAAACATATATGCCAGATTCTAATTTGTTCTTGTCTGACTCAATAATGTTCAGTGGCGTAACTTGACAAAACTTTCAGGGAGTATTCACACGAATATTGTAGAAACTGTAAAAAAATACAGATTATTAAAGTGTTTATAAGTTTTTTAAAAAATAACTCAAGTATAAACTAATCATATTTTGAACGCGATATTTTCTTAATAAAAACAGTCTACCTTTAAATAAAGAAAACGGACCACAAACCTGCGAAAAACCAATATACACCTTAAGAACACTACCTAAATTTGAACATTGTTCTACTTTTTCATAAGAAACTCTTGATTCGCAAAGTCTGTTCACTCATAGGCTTAAGTGAAGTATATATATAGTTCCTGAAGTTGATACCACTTTCCCAATCGACATGATTGATGAATAGTTTTCTTATTAGCTAACACTCATTGAGTATTTAAAATCGGACGAATACAGATAGATAGACAAATAGTTAAGAAGTGATGATTAGTATTTCCAAAAAACTATTTCAAAAATATGAAACGATCCAAGTACCTTCATTTTATCATTATTGTGGAGGGTGACTTATGGAGATTTTTCGATTTCATTTTTAGCATCACAAGCTGATCTTAGTTGAAGAACTATTGGAAACCAGGAAGCACTGGACAGCTGTTCTGTTCTAGTATAGGACTCCTCTTCAGTGTACACCCACGATCATACTACTGCGGGGGGGGCGGATCAAACTCAGGACCTTCTTCGTACAGGGACTCATACCCTCTGAACCAATGAACCAGTGTCCAATGTCCTACATTCCTAGAGGTTAAGCGTTCGTATGCGAGACTAAATATCCTGAATTCGATCCTTTGAGATGTGATCGTTGATATGCATTGCTGAGGAGTCCCGTACTAGAACGAAATAATTGTCAAATGCTTCCTGGTTTTTACTGGTTATTTAACTGAGATCAGTCTGATGTTAATTACAAAAATAAAAGAAATTGAATCATTTTCAACAAAAAATTGACAATCATAAATAGTTTTGTCTATCACTGATGAAGGTAGCAACAATCAGACAACCTTGAAATAAAAGTACACACGAAGGAGAACGATATGGCTAATTCCATCAAAAAGCATAATAGGTCTTATTATTATTGTCTCCTGTCCTATAAACAGTGTTTATTGTTTATTTCTTCTTTAGTTGACTATGAAATTCGTCTTAAGTTTTTTACATCATAGCCTTTGGACGTAACAATGAGAAAATTCCAGGCTTAAATACATTGATGTATTGGTTAGTGCTTCTTATACATCATTTACTTACATAAGCCTATTGCCATTCTTGGGGCATAAGCCACCTATACATCGCTTGCATTTAAACATATTGATTATGTGCAAATATTCCGTCTCAGTGACTAGAGTTAACCAATCAGAAGTCTTGTGAAGATGTTCTGTGTTATGGACAGAAATGATCACTAATTAACATTAGCACCCTAGCTGGTTACCTGTTTTACTAAACAACAATCCCTAAACTAATTTTGAATGCATCTAGTTTTAGCGTTCGTTACAACCCATTCAACATTCAGTTGAATAATGAGTTGGCTAGTAAAGCAAAGTTGTAAGCTGAAATATTATTCTCTTCAACAGTAATCAATTTCAGCGACAATTTCATTGATTATCACCGTCTATTGATAACGTTTTTCACTAGCCTATCAAAAGAAACTATTTTGTTATAATTACTTTTAAACGCACTAAATTGAATACACATACACAAAATCGTTTGCACTAGTCCCTATTGCTTTGCGAACTGTATGTTGTTACTAATACTGTAGTGAACGAAAACTCCAGTAGGGAAAATCAATTTTTTGTTTAATGCAAAATCACAAAGTGGCTTAGTGAAATATGAAAATCATACATTAAATACACCATTTGCACATTTTCTTTGTGTTATCCTTTACACACTTCATTATTCCTCTGATTTTGTTGGTATTTCGATTTCTCTCCGATTGTCTTCCTGTTCTCCTGATTTCAATCTTCTGTTGTCATGCATTTCACTTCCGATTGATGTTACATACTACTTATGTCTGTTAGAGTACGCAGCATACAACACATACTACTACTGTTACTTTCTATGTTTACTTATACACTTTATGATACTTGTGTACCATATTTGAGGTTAAATAAGCTGACTGTCTGATTTGTGTAAAAGGCGGATTTTCATCATCTACGTTATTTTAAAGAAATTAGATTGTTAGACAAGACTAACACAAATAGCGAACAAATTATTTGAAATAATAATTATTATTTAGATAGTGTGATCCCTCCTAGATCTCTTAACTAAATATATATTACATACCACGTGGAAAATACACTGTTTAAAATGGCGATTTTAAACTACTTATTATGTTGTGTCGTAATTCGGAAGAAAGAGTAATAC